AGCAGACGCAGGTTACAGAATTATAAAACTGACTTATTCTAACTCACATTCTACGGTTATACGAGGTGCCAAATATCGCCGTCGAATCGTAATAAGCGTGACCCAAATTTTAGCTATTTTCAGCGAGGTGTTTCTTCAAAAGTGCGGCAGTTTATTTCCCCAGAAAAACAATTTTCTGTTAGTCTTTTACTCTGTTATCAATATCCAGTTAAGTTAAAGTCGGAGTAATTGGTATCGCAAAGTCCATTGAAAATTATCAGTCAGGAATATTTCCCACCAAAAGTTTGGCGAAGAGTATCACTTTATTCCGATCTTCTGCGAATGTTATTCATGATTAACTGAAATATCCACTTAAAATAGTTAGTTGGACTACAGGATAGAATTAAGCTGTAAACATCGTTACTAACCTATGTAAACATTTAAAACTCGCCAAATCCTTACCATTAGTAGACTGAATTTTCCCGCGAGAATTCTATTTTTAACGTCACGCGTCATGGAGAAATATAATGGTTCCCCAGTTCGCTGATCTTTTTCGCTGTCGTGTAGAACAAACTGCAAGGTAATAGTGATCGATATCGCGAAGCTTTACCCAAAATTGAATTTTGGGCTTTTGCAAACCCATTGTCTACATCGATTTGTCGTTTTTGGAAGGCGTCACGCTCCACAGATTCAACTTAAGTTCAGACGACAGGTCGAGTTCACAGTGTTTTGAAAACATTAACTGTTCTTCCGAATCAAAAAAATCGCCAAGCAAAGGGGATGGATTCAGATCAGTTTTTCTTCAGTTATTAGCGTGCAAATGAGATGGTCGAGGAAAGATCATGTCAGAAGTGGTGTCCATTTGGTGCAGCTGAAAGCAAACAATAAGGAAATGTAGGCTATGACAAATCTTTCTAGCTCAGTCCGGCCGGCCGCTTCGCGGCCTAACATATTCTACTCTGAAATTCATGAAGTCGACTTGTGGCAAGTCTAAGGACAAACGAATGGAATAACATCTCAAGACGTGTAATCGCTGCTATGTCAGGATTGCCAGCGGAATTCTTTCTTGTGTTCAATGATATGTTGTTGGTTGTATTTGCTTGTTTTCCGCTCCATTTCCTTCCTTTATTACTTGGTGCGCGCAAAGTTGCCTGAAGCCACTCTATCAAAGCGAGAACTGGTGCACAACCACTCATATGAAAATGAGTTTAATTTCAGTATATTAGTCTCATTTTCATATGAAAGGATGGGCACCAAGAATCGCTTTGAGAAAGAGGCTTAAGGCCATCCGGAAATGGCCCATTGACTTACGACCACTTGATATGCAGCTTGAGATACTGATTTTGTGCTTTCAGTAAATCATGGATATTTAAACAATCGCAGAAGATCGGAATAAAGTGATATTCTTCGCTAAACATTAGGCGCCAAATATTTCTGACCGATGCTTTGCGAGACCAATTACTCCGATTTGCCAGTAGATATCAATTTTAACTAAACTGGATATTGATAACAATGTGAAAAAACATCAGAATAATACTTTTCTGTGGAAATAAACTTCAACACTTTTGACAAACAATTCGCTAAAAATGGCTAAAATTTGGGTCACGCTTGCTAACAATTCGGCGGCGATATTTGGCTCCTCGTGAAGACCGTAGAATTAAAGCGAAAGACTTCTAGTCAGTATCTCAATCAACTGACTGAGGCAATAGATAGTATCGCACGAAAATAAGAATTTCTGGAATTTGTAAAAACTGCATTTTAGGCTCGCCTAATTTCGGCCATTTTAGGTCGCTTGAGAGGCCAAAATCATGATGCCGCCGGATATCTCGAAGAAAAACGAACGCCTACCTCGGCAAATGTCATAGTTGGTGATCATTACGGATGCTTCATTAGACCGTCAAAAGATGAAGGTAAATGGCCAACCTCGATCTTTTGGTTCTTCCCGGTTTCATGTATTGAAATAATACTGATACAGGAATGGAAAACCAGTCGGCGTTCATCAGTTCCAGGTGGTTCGTCTTCGAGTGATTCGACTTGCTTCCTAGTTTAACGGAAGTAGCCTGACGCGATGTTAGGTAGCCTGCGAACGCAGACGTATTTCCGGCTCTCGCTTGTCTCCGCCAATAACGTCTGCAAACCCGAGGCAGGAACCGATTTCTGTGACGTAGGAATTTTAAGCCAATCACAGTATAGCTCAAGTAGCCCCAGAACTACAGTGCGAGGTATTCGCTGCGTGGAGAACTCGAGTTTCATTCTATCATGGAACCTGATTGGCCAAAGAGAAATAAAAGTCATACGTCACAGAAATCGTTTCCTGGCTCGGGTTGGCAGACTTTATTTTCGGCGGAGACAAGCGACAGCCGGAAATACGTCTGCGTTCGCAGACTAGATGTTAGGCTATAACGCTTTTTAAAATAAAATGTAAAGAAATCAGAATACAAGCATTACAATTTCGGTACCATTACGAATGCAATTCGATCTTGCCTGATCTGCTCTGTATTGATGTATATACAATGAAAAACTGAAATTGATCATATTTTTGTGATTATACCTGTTTGCTTATTCTCAGAAAATGCGCATTAGAGGTTGGTTTTTAATCGAGTCATTGTGATCTCTAGATTGGTCTGATGCCATGCAGTCCCCGTAAAAAGTTTGGAATCTGAATGGCGTGAACGAAACCCGTCTTTTTAAACCACTAACACTTCAGCATTTTAAAGGAGCTACCTCACGGTTTGCGCATCTTGAAATTTTCAGCCCAAATTTTTCAAGTTCGTCGTTTGTAATCCGTGTCAATCTTCTTCATCCTAAACTATCCTTGTTTCTTTATGGTTTATTATTACTCTTTGTTATTTTTGGATCTTTTTTTTAACTATTATTTTCAGGCTTTCTTCAATTTTTAGGTTATTTTATACCTGGCAAAAATAGCTCAAAATACCGTGACTGCCGAGCTCCTCTTTAAGTTTTCTTGTCAAAATTGATTAAATGGCGAGCGAGTTGCACGAACCGTGGGCGTACCTACACAGCCTCGGGAATGCGAAGAATCCTCTCACAGGAATATTACATTAGGAATGTAAAGAATCCTCACACAGGAATCTTACATTGGGAATGCAAAGAATGCTTACACGGCCAATCTCGTTCCCAGAGCCCACGTGTCTTTTGGTCAGCGCCTGACCAAAAGACACGTGGGCTCTGGGAACGAGATTGGATTGCAGCAAATCTCTTCATATCCTCGTGTCCTGGCCTCCTGACTCTGGTCACGTGGACATGAGGATATGGCGAGACTTGTATTTCTGTTTTAAATTTCCTTCGTTAAAATCTGGAAGATCTGGAAGTAGGTGCTGTAATCGAATGGCTCTCAACCAGTGGATACTTTTGGAAAGGAAACCAGCGTTGAATTACAGAGGAAATGTTATTCCAAGAATCCAGACAAGCGTTGTCTCCAAATGCTTGTTCTAAGGCCCCGCCGGCTAAGTGGGGCAGAGGGCACTGGGAGTGAGTGGACGATTGAGATTTTGTTCAGCGGCTCACTTGTCAGTGGAGCACGCGCATTTGCAGCATTCGCCGCCATCTTGTTTATTCTTCGAAGGTTTTGTTGCTTTACAGAAATTTTTTAATATGATAAACAGCCTTTTTGTCATTAATAATGTCGGGTACGTGCTCACTTCATGTAGTCAAGTGATGATTCTATTCACCTCTGCGGTAATGTTAGAAAATTTTCGATTGAAGTAAATTTTAACGTCATCTTCCACAGGGATATTTTCCTCGAAAAACACTGGAAAAGTGTTATCAGTAGATCTGTGTGTGATCATTTCTTTGAAGCACTAACCAAGGTTAGTTAGTAATATTTTCTTCATAAAAGTTCCAGCTAGCTTGATACTTCTCATTGTACAGGAAGCTGGCCTTTCGAAATGAAAATCGTTTTATTTTGATTT